CAAAGAACATCAAGGCAGGGCAATCTTGAGGTCCCCCCCCCTTCCCTTCCAGGGCTAACCTGGGGTTAGTTGAATTCCTTCTTCAAGGCCATCTCCATACTCCTCTACACCTGGTTGGCATGACTTGCTGCTTTTAAAGCAAGTTTCTAGACACTTGGTTGCATCAGCTATACTGTACATGGAAGAAAACTAGAATTGGCCCACCAGCATAACCAGCCGAAAGACAGATATTGTGCAGTTAATCCTGCTTCATGCATTTTTTATGTTAGCAAGAAGACGAACAAGAGAAAAGCTGTGGGGGAACATAAAATTCTGTGCAAGCCATTTCACGTTAAAAGCTTAATCTGCTGTCTTCTTTGTTGGTAGCAAAGAAAAGGGCCCAATTCATGATGTCCAGGGCTTCTTCAGCTCTGCAGAACCTATGTCAGTAATGCGCAAAAATAATAAATACATGTTGAGGAAGAGATTGGAGATCTGTTTGTGGGGAAGCCTCAAGCACCAGTTCACCACCTTTCCTACCTTTCTTTGGGATTAGTTTGCAAGGCTGCTAACTGCATTGAAGTGGCTTCTCTGTAAGATGTAGGTAAGATAATTCATATGAAAGTGTTCTCTAGTGGATTTTGCTATAAAATGTATGCATTTGCTGCTTACCATCATATGTTGTCTATTTTATATTTATTTCTTAGAGTTTATTCCCTTTGGGCTCTTTTATTTTCATATGTTGCCTTAAGTATACTTCAACAGAAACAAGAATCCTGGTAACAATCAGGAGTAAATTAAATTTTCTTCTGTGGCAAAAGATCAATTTCAAGTCAAAACTCATCATTTTGTCCAAGTCCTGGTGGGTTGTAGTGGTGAAAGTGCTGGTTGGACGTCCAGTGAGGCATGGCAAACTGAAGATGTCCCTGAAAAATGGGAACATTGTGGCTGAAACTCACGGCTGGCAGTAGGGTCCAGGCCAGCAAAATCTCTCTGGAGAAAGGAGAGATCTTGAGATTGCCCACATGCACTCCAGACATCTATTCCTCATGAGTAAACCACAGGAACTGATGTTTTTGCGGTTGGCTGGTGAGTGGAGCAGCTGGGAGTTGAGAGAAAATTCCATCTAAACTCATAGTTATAATGTAGCCTTTTTGGACTCAGTTTTGCTGATTCTCATTTTTTAATCACCTTGGAATTGATTTTTTTTTTATTGCTTTTTAAATATTGAGAACCTCCAGAATGGCAAATTTTATGGCTTTCACTGGGTGCGTTTCCTTCAATCCTTTACAAAATAAGTTTTCAGTACAAGTTTAAGGATTTATAAAAATTTGCTTTTTGTTTTTGTTTTGGAATTAACAGCAAAAGTGTGATTGGAGTGTTGTTTTTAGAAAGTTATAAATGGACTAAGGATCCAGATGGATTTAATAAAAATAGATTTAAATTAAATATAAGAATCCTTCCCATAGGGAACTAGATGTTTTTGCATTTGGAATAAAAATAACAAGATCAGATGGGACTTTGAAGGTTGGACACTAGACGGCACCAGATGCAAGTAAAACAATGGATGTATTGAGAGATATGTATTAACAAATAACTCAGAAGTTACTTTCAAAGATTTCTGCCATTATTGATGAAATAGATGATGCTATGGAAGAGGAACAAGTTTTACTGGATAAAAAGGAAATTGATTCAAATCTAGACTTTAAAATGACAGATTACAAGAAGGATATGGAACAAGATGAAACATTGAATTTACAGATGAAATCAGCTGATTTTAATAACTAAAAAGGACATATACATAAGACATGTTTTTCTATATTTTCTATTTTTACATTTTATAGCTTGTATTAGTTTTATCTGTATAATGTAATCTCTAATAAAATTATTTTTTTAAAAAAAATAAGAACCACAGTACTCAGTTCCCAATGAAAGCAACTCTCACTGAAACCAATATAGGTTCAAAGGAAAGTTCATTTATTGGAAAGTAGTGAACAGCTCTAGAAACATAGCTGGAACTGAGTCCCACGCATACCAAAACTTAGTTTTACGTCACCCCCATTTCACCCCTCCCTTCTGTCTATGAATCTCTCTTGTGCATGTTGAAGATGTTCTCAGGTTCCCACATTGGTATGACCTTGGGCATTCCTAAGAGCCAGATAATGGCCCATTTGTGCCTAATGATTAACATTCCAACCTTCCCTCCCTCCCTTCCTCTCTACTGTAATGGCAGAAACAAAGCAAGTGAACTAGCAGTGCAAGTGATTGATTGTGAGGATTCTGACATGCCACCCCTCTGGAAAAAAGAAAAAAAAGATCAGTTGTGGTCTTCATGGAAGGAGACCTCTAGAGGGACTAGAGAGAGAGAAGTAAAACATATGCACATTTTTGCAACATGAATGAATTCATTATTTTGGCTTGTCAGGGTATTTCTTGTAGAAGTCCTTAATCAACTATGGTGCTTGCACATGTTTCTTTGCTACCCACTCACATTGCAACTTGGGAAAATGCTTCCATTGAATAAGGAATTGTACTTCTCCTCTGTGTTTTCTGGCATCTAAAATCTCTTTTACTTCAAAGTGCTGTTTGCCTTCAATCATTATAGGGTCAGGTGGTGGTTGTGCCATGTGCCACTCTGGTGATTCTTTGTAAGGTTTTAAGAGGCTACAATGGAATACTGGGTGAACTCGCTTAAGATTCTTAGGCAACTGTAGTTGAACTCTAATAGGGTTAATGACTCTATTGTAAAAGGCCCCACGCACTTGCGTCCCAATTTCTTTGATGGTTGTAGTTGTCAGGATCTGCACAAGCTACCAATTAAAGGCTATTAGAAAGTATGCTTAAAATGTAGAATTGTGATGAATAACTAATAGGTTAGAATGTTAGTTAAGACAAGAACTGTGATTGGTATACCTGCTTGCTGGTTCCTGCCATAAAAGTCGGAGGGAGGGAGAATAATAAAACAAGTGCCAGGTGCAACCGTTATCTTGACTAGAGGCTCCAGCAAGGTCGAACGGCTGTGAAACCTGGGAAGAGGTGCAAAGAATTCAAGCGGGAAAAGTAGAATAGAGGGGGGTTAAAAAGAGAGCTCTGGCTGGGGAAGGTCAGTCTCAGCAATTTTTCTATGGATGCTGTATGCTGCTTCTCAATAAAGAAATCTTTGCTGGAAACAAATAGAATCCAGAGGATTTACTGGTCTTGGCAATTGAGCGTGCAGACTCTGACAGCAGTGTTCTGAGGTACTTAGTTAATAAATACACTTTGTCTCCCACTTTCCATTCCTTTTCAGGGGACTGCCTGTGATCTGCATGTTTTGTAATCCTCCCTGGCATCTTGCA